AACCCGTTCTCCACCAGTTGTTAAAGCGAACAAATGATATGACTGTATCATATCGATCGTATTACTCGTTTTCTACCACTTTTTGTCGCATGCGCGCTTAAACAAGAAGGCAGAGAACGGCCTTGACGCTGTGCACACTCATACTGGCTGACACGCCCAACCGTCCGCAGCGAAGTAGAGTAGCACTCGTATATCCATGCAGCACCGCGGCCGCTTCATATCAGTCTCCTCGCCATATTCTCCTTGCAAATAAAGCAATACGAGCATCAGGTACGGTCGTCCATTTGTGGGCGGGCGGGCGCGGTGGGTCCGGGTCGGTATGTTGCAGCTTGATAGGGCCTTATAAGGGCACCTTCCTTGGAAAAGGCGCTACGCAGCGCCTGCTCAGGGCGCGGAATTCCGTCCTGCCAGGCGTATTAATCCTACTCGTCTTGGGGATTTATCGTGCCAACTGCATTTAAGGTGTCCGTCCTGCCATCCAATCGGTAACGCCTAAACTCCTTTTCAAGTTTAGAAAATGTTCTCGGACGGTTTAATGAAAGCTTGTCCTTGTTTTGAGTAGACTAAGGTCTCAACGGGTGCGACATGTGAGTTGACAATTACATTATCCCCAGCACATCATTAGGTCCAAGTGAGTTCAATGTACTTTCCCGAGTCCTTCCACCAGCGGCATCCAGGGACTTTCGAGTAATGAGATTTTGTCTGCGCTCCTCGGAGCCTTTGCGATGGTGAAACTTTTACAATACATCGCACCCTTTCCCGTGAAAGCGAACCCATCTCCGCAAGAGACATACATCTCCACTTCTTTTCCCGTAGTGCAGCCCGTGGTTGAGCTACCGTGCCATCTGAGAAGCATTTATTTCACAACTTTTGTATCCGGTGCTCTACATTTGACCCTACCCTTGAGCACTCCCGGTGTTCTCTGTCGCACTGCATCGCTTATTCATATGGCAATTCGGCAGTCGGGGCGCAATATACCTTTGCCACAGAGAATGTAAATAATGCTTCTCGCATAGCGAAATCCAATTCGATGGAAATTTTCAGAATTACAGTTTGAAGAATGCTTTTTTTTCATATCATTCCCCAGGGATTCCGCGGACGAATTTCTCGTGTATCGCAGGCAAGCCCAATATCCAAGTAATGGCTGATTAAACCTTTATAGCATGCATAAAACGAATAAATAAAAAGCGAATGAATAATCACCTCACCTAATTACAAACTGCCATAAGTGCAGAAGTAGTGCTCAATAAGCATACGGCTAAGAAGATCAGTAAAACGCGAACATTACAATGAAATTATGAGAATGCTGCTTGTGAGTACCCACCTGATCACAATGTATGAAAACAATTGGGCAACGTCAGGCTGATTCCAGCTTAATGCACATACTTGACTGCAGATGTCGGCTGAAAAATCAAGAACAAAATTGGCGCTTTTCACCCTTACTGCCCCACATTTCGAGGTTCGAGCCAAGTTTTGATCCAGGTGTTTCTTTTGAGGTAGATTTGGCCAAAACTTCGAGTAGTTTCACCCTTGAGCAATACCCTCCCCACGTTTGAGTGGGAAAACCTGTGTTCACGCCACCGGCACCAGCGCTCCAACTGCTTCTGACGCCGGTGCCCGGGCGCATTTACCAGGTGACTCCTGATAAAGCAAGCGCGATATTCGGCTTTGGTGGATCAAATGTCCTGGGCACAAGTTTCAACAAATTTGAAGTTCCGATGTAACAATGGCGCTGGTAACTGTGGCGCGAACGCCAGGCGGTCGGGACCAGGCGAACACGAAAGGGGGTAGAACTTTCCGTGGGAAAAATTTTAGCCACATCTACCCAGGCAGAGACATTTCGCTCAAAACCTGGACGTCACTTCGAACAGTGAGGCAGTATAGAGTAAACAGAGCCCGAGGAAGTTCACAAAAAATTATTATGCGAGTAGATTCAACAAGCGACCGCTATCTCTCAGCCATCACTGCTCCACATCGGACCCGGGTTCCATTTGAGACATCAGCTGATTGCAAATGTCGCGTAGTTCGGAGGCCTCGTTTTTCTGAAAAAAAAACCGTTGAATCCGCTCGTTTCACTGCCATCACACCCAGTTGTGCGCTTCTGAGGTAGTGACAACTATCGAGGCATTTCCAGCATAATAGTCCAAGGGGGCCGGAACACTTATACTGGCGCATAATTACTGCCGGGTGCGCCTAATGCATGAAGCAGTTCTGCACTGAAGGATATAGCGCCCAGAGTTATTTGACCTTCTTCAATCGCTATAAGTTCTTTTTCCAGTTGATAAATATTGATTCGGAAGCACAAAACAAAGGATAGTATTGGTCGCGGATCAATCCCTTCTTGAGATGAGGCGATGCTTGATTGGCCAAGGTGCCGATGCGGGATTTGACCCCCGAACCGCACGTATGGTGAGTGTGCCGTTTGCCACTACACCACTCCGCCTCATTTGAAAGCATGGACGTTTGGAATAAACTGTCAGCCGCGGCAGACGTGCATATCAGTGCACCTCGTTCCATGTGATTTGACCAAGTAACGAATCCCTGGAAGACGGGTAACCTATTTGGCCCTAATGTAGTTCTGTGTGTGGAGGCGACAGAAGCAACCATACCGGTCTTTGAGACATCGTCCACGCTGATCGTATGGGCGGAGACAGAGAAGCACTGTGCCCCGCCCTAGAGGTGTCCTATGGAGAGGCGTGCCAGTGAGAAACCTGCGATGGTTTTCTGTTTCTGCTAGTACGTGCTGCGAGTGACTGAGTGCGTGTTTCGCTGTGTAACACTGGTATCGATGCAAATGCTAAGCTTTGAGGATAGCACAAACGTAGTATGGAGATGGCGCTCGGGCACTGCGGGGCCCCGTGCACTTCTGGGCGCAGAAATGACGTGCTACTGCAGCTTACGGACCTATTCGCCTCGCATACGGCAAAGACTGCCCTCAGAGGCGAGCGTACTTCCTTAAAAGGCATATGGTACGCGAATTTGGAACTAGGTCTAAAATCCTAGCAAGGTGCTATATAGTGGAAAAAAGGGCGAAAAAACGAAAAGAAACGTCAAAATCCGGGAAGAAAAGCCTTCGTTCTTAATGACTCAAAAAGCAGCTTCGAACGAGTTTCCCAAAGAAATCTTGCCAATGACCACTACGATATGTACGGCTGCGCGTATGTATCATATACCCGTGCAGCCCTTCCCCATCACTTACCGCCGCCGCTTCATATCAACCCTTCGCTTCATATTTTACTTAGCAAATGAAGCAATACGAGCATCAGGTACGGTCGTCCATTTGTGGGCGGGCGGGCGCGGTGGGCGTTCGGGTCGGTATGTTGTAGCTTGATAGGGCCTTATAAGGGCACCTTCCCTTGGAAAAGGCGCTACGCAGCGCCTGCAGGGCGCGGATTCCGTCCTGCCAGGCGTATTAATCCTACTCGTCTTAAAAATTTATCGTCCCGACTGTCTTTGGGTAAGGAACCAGACGGCTAAGTGAAGAATGGTTTTGCAGAAGAGAAACTTATTCCAAAAAAGAATTCTCAATAAAATGACTAACCTTTATTTCCAATTCATGCTGACTTGTTTTCAAATCCATTTCCAACTGACGAACTTTCAGTCGTAATCCAAGCAAGCTCTCATCTCGTTCGCGAAGGCAATCTTGTACATCTTTGGAAGCACTGGGAAGTTAAGCGATAAACTCACGATAAATCATAACCTGGTGCTTGATACGATCCCGTGATGGACGATAGCATATGCGGAATTCTGAATTGTGATCACTGACCGTTCAAGCTTATTCTGAGCATCCTCCCGCAATCGGCTCATCTTTCCTTGCATACGTTTGCCTTCTTCGACTTTTTCAACATATTTCTCGTACAATGCACTATACTCCTGAAAGCTCCCAAATGATCAGAGTCAATAACTTTTGGAAAGAGATTTTTTGAAACGTACGAGCTTTTGATCTTCAGCAACTTTTAACGCAGTTCTGTACATGTCATAGATCTTGCTGTAGTCTTCGTGCATGGAATCGAGCTCCGCTTTGATTGAATCTCGTTCCCTTCAAATGAATCAGATTTGAACTCCCTTCGAGTTACCGAGAGGAGTTACGGCTTCAGAGAGAACTTTGCCCAGGCCAAACAAGCCTTAAAACCCGCTTCTTATGAACTTCCT